TTCTGCTTTCTCTATCACAGAACCTGTGACAGAGAAAGATTACACGATTCACTACCAAGTAAGTCTTTGGCACAGCTTGGTTTAAAACTGATTATTTTAGGTTTTTTTTTTGTTATTCACCTCATTAAACCATGCTGTCCCTCTAAGTCAAAGATTAGCCAATCGAGAGACAGGAGGGTTCTCTCATGTCCATGCTATGAAAGCCCAATACTTATCATCAGAAATTCATATGTTGTTCATTACTTGAGGTATGGAATTGGAACAAATAGAAAATAATTTCAAGAACTAGCCAGCCACAAAGCCTATGTTTTTGATTTCAGGTCACTCTGTCCTATGTTTTGCCCTGTGTGGGACATTTTGGCAGGTAAATAAGAAAATGGCTCCAAACTGCATCAGAAGCAAAAACAATTTGCCATGGAGATATTAAGCAACTCTCCCAGGACTTTGGAATAATTTGGTTCTGATCCTCATACCAAAGAAAGATGTAGCTATTTCATATTGCACCAAAGTGTTCTAGTCTGTCGCTTTTGCATTGCTTTCTGTTTTAGGAATATGCATACATGTGTCATGTAAGCATGCATGGGACAATGGCAGTAACCAGAGCCACTGGGGCCCATAGTCTACTAAGCATAAAAGGTGACATACTATAATTAGGATCTGTTCCTGCAGCCTTCACTCATGTAACTAGTTGTATTGATATCATGGATTCAATGGGATGGCTCACATGAGCAACAGTTCCTGCCACGTGTGAGCTTTGTAAGCAAAGTCCCCATGGGAGACAGCACACCACAGGGAAACCCAATATAACACAAGTGAGTCATGAGACCGAGAGAGATGGATCTCACTATTTAATGAAAGATGATCCTGTGTGCACCTGTAAGGGCTGGTCTCAGACCTGAGCTAGTGTGGGATGATGATCAAATAATAAAAATCCTCCCAGGGAGAACAAACTTGGCCATTTGCTACTCTGCAAGGTTCAGGCTCTGCACTTTCTGCTGCTCCTGTATGCTCCCTCCCACTTGCATTTTTCTCATCCCAGTTTACCCTCTCAACTGCTGTGTCTCCTTGAAAACCCCTTTGCCTCAGACAGTGCTAATTGGTGTAGCATTGCTCCCTCTGCCTGAATCCTATAGTAACCACAGGAAAAAGCACTAGCCAATGCCTTTTCCTGGCTATTTCCCCGCCCGCATCACGTCTTCTCTCCATCTCCTTGGTATGAGCGTGTCAGTGCTCACCCTGGTACTTCAACTATCTTCTGATATGGAGGATGGTCCTCATACAGAGCAGGAGGCAAAATGCCTAAAAACCTGCCTATGTTAAAAGCATGTTCCAGCAGCACCATAAAAGAGATATTCTTTCACACAGGCAAAATATTAATTATGCACCCCTTTTCCTTAGGTTAGCACATGTCGTGCTCTTTACTTTTGCAGCTTATTACTTTTATTTATTGGCTGCGTCTAGACTGGCAAGTTTTTCCGAAAAAGCAGCTGCTTTTGCGGAAAAACTTGCCAGCTGTCTACACTGGCCGCTTGAATTTCTGCAAGAACACTGACTTCCTACTGTCTGAAATCAGTTTTGCACAAAAAAGCCCCGATCGCAAAAATGGCGATCGGGGCTTTTTTGCGCAAAAGCACGTGTAGATGGGCATGGACGCTTTTCCGCAAAAAGTGCTTTTGTGCAAAAACGTACATGCCAATCTAGATGCTCTTTTCTGCAAATGCTTTTAATGGAAAACTTTTCCATTAAAAGCATTTGCGGAAAATCATGCCAGCCTAGACGTAGCCATTGTGTCTTTGTGCCCCTGATTATGATGCACCTAGGGCGAGCACCCTGCTTGACCTACCCTTCTTATGGCCCTGTACTTTATCTGTCTGCTTAATTTTCCCCCTTCCTAGAGGTTTTGTAGGAGTGTTAGTGTTTCCATGGAATTTTAGGATGAACAGTGCTCAGTGTGTTCTTTTAGGGTGTGTCTAGACTACATGCCTCCTTCGACGGAGGCATGTAGATTAGCGAGATCGGAA